CAGACAGACAGACAGACAGACAGACAGACAGACAGACAGACAGACAGACAGAGGCAGGCAGGCAGGCAGGCAGGCAGGCAGGCAGGCAGACAGACAGATATAGACAGACAGACACACTAAATTGCCAAAAGTATTCGCTCACCCATCCACATAATCAGAAGCAGTTGTGAGCGAATACTTTTGGCAATATAGTGTGGATGGATGGATGGATGGATGGATGGATGGATGGATGGATGGTACAGAGAAGACTGTATCAATGACTGTACAACAATGACTCTGAAAAAAAGAAGCGATATCCCATAGGATCCATTCTAAGCCCCATGCTATTCAACAAATTTATGAATTATATGAAGGGTTAAATATAATTATGAAATTTGCAGATTACACACATGGACATGTAGCAAACAACTTATAGGTCAATATCAAGGTTTAGGAACATTGTGATAAACTAGAACAAAGAGCAGATATCAGTAAGACTTTCAATAGGGATAAAACAGAAAGACCCACATTTGCGTAGGAAAAATCAAAGACAAAAATATAGGTTGGAAGAATGATACTGACAAATATATTCACAAAGGATCTGGGTGTCTTGGCAGATCAGCCTGATACAGCTGCAAAAAAAAAAGAATCTTGGGCTATTTCAAAAGAAATATAGTGTGAAATCAAAAGAAGTCACTGATCCTCTGTTTTCTCCATTGGTCAGACTACTCCTGGAATACTGCATCCAATTTTGGGCACCACATTATAGGAAGGGTATTGTCAAATTCTCAAATTCATAGGACTATCATAGGACTGTAATTAAAATTAGGTAAGTAGCCTAGAAGCAAAAACCCATAAAGAATGTTTGGAAGTACTGATTTTATGTGTATGATAAGCTATTTCCAAGTGTCTAAAGGACTGTATTATGTTCCAATAATAGAGTATATATTAGTGTTTAATTGTTACATGTTTAGTCTTTAGCTTGCTTATTTTCCTGTGGTTGTTTCATTACCAGGCTAAGTAATATCATCAAAGTTATATAGAAAATGGATATAATTGTTCAGAATAGTACAAGAGATGATTTTTTAAAAATCACTAAAGTCCTCAGAAAATGAATGACCATGCAATGTTTTTGATACATTTGTTTAATTGGGTTCTCTTTATCTAGTTCAGGGATGTCAAACTGGAGGCCCACAAGCCAGATGTGTCACGTGCAGGCCATGCCCACCCCAACTCTACGAATGGGAAAAACATCACGTAATGTCACGTGATGGCAACATGACATAGAGAGTTTGACATCCGTGATCTAGTTCTTTGGAGAACAGACAACCTTTTAGCATATTTATGCAGAAATTCTCAAAATTCAAAAGATTTCTCAAAACTTTATTCCCCCCTGTATTTATTTTGATTCAATAAGAAAAAGATCAGAAATGACTTTGAATTTGTAAACATTTACAAAGAAAATTGGGGTGAATATTGTTTGTATTCAGAATAATTTATATGAGGCGAATTAAACACAGGAAAAATCAAATGTAGTAAGCTACAACATTCATAAAAATGAGTTTGAACATTGAATGACTTCTACATCACATGCCTATCAAAATCCCTTTTTAATAATACAGAAATAGTTTTGACAACTTTATCTAGCTATACAGATAATATAAATCCAAGAGACGCCATATATAACATTGTATTAAGTCTAATAAAAGACTACAAAAAAAGTAATGTGGCTTTCTCTGGGCTCAATTTTCTTCCTTATATGGAAGAAAATAATCTAGTAAAATGCTTATTACCTTGGTAGAGTACTTAATATACTGTTAGTCATTGTTCTGGAATGTTTAATGTTCAAGAAATCATTTTCACATAGCCAACTGCAAAATACACCAGAATGTACCTGCACTGCAAAAGTCAACTTTCAAATCCACATAGGTCTTTAACCTAGCCTCTATTAGTATGAAGATTAAAAATCAAAGGTACTTATAATTAGATTGTTATTGCTACAACTCTTGATACTCCATACATTCTAAATAAGGTAAAATGTAAGCAATATACTATACAATAACAATGCTTTATTTTAGTTTCTCAGCAGATAACAAAATTCAGGATTAAAATTTAATTATTTAATTTTGGTTAATTAAAAAGATTTAATTTAATCTTTTAATTAACTTATGACATGAAGTTTCAAAAATTATAGTCTGCATACAAATATCTATTTGATACCGTAACTCAAGTCTATTGCATGCCATTTAATATATTTTGTACAACAGCAAGTGAAATAGTTATTTAAGTGATGTTAATCTGCCTTCATTAAGTAATCTGAAATAATTACATAGATTTGACAATAGGCAAAAAGCACAGGAAGCACTGGCCATCCAATAATTTTTTTACTTATGTATATTTATCTTAAACAGGAATACCACAAAAAGGCATCGACATTTATACTACAGTATCATTAGTTTGTTTAATAGTGGCTAAAGTTTGAAGGGTTATGGAAGTATGTAAGACAATAAATCATAGCTCTGATCTGTGAGAAATATCCTGTCTCTCTTGCCAACCTGGGGTACTGAAGGAGAAATGTTCTAAGGCTTACCTTATCAACAGGACTTGGTAATGGAGCATGGATGACACTATAGAGGGGGAAAAAGCTATCAATTAAAAAAATATTTCCACCACATTTAGCAAAGAAGAAATGAACCTTGAGCGCTCTCTCTCTCTCTCTCTCTCTCTCTCTCTCTCTCTCTCTCTCTCTCACTCTCACACACACACACACACACACACACACACACAGCATTCTAAAATCAACAAAATCCGACATGCAATAAACTATTATTATGGCTGCCAAAACCAATGATGCCAATTATAGAGAAACCAACAATAAAGCATGAACGTAATGCTTTGTATATATGTGCACATGTATATTTGCAAGAAACTCCCTCCCAAAAAAGGAGAGGATTAAGAGAAAAAGCATATTGATGAATAATCAATATATCAGGTTTACTGATTTCTATCTGCACATATCAACCATTGTCTTACATAAAAATGCAGACCTACTGTACATAGAAAAAAAATTACAAAATTGCCCCCTTCCTTTTATCAAGAAACATCAAAAAGGAAAAAAAAATAGGATGGAAATGAAATTAATAGAAGGGGTAGCTGCATGGATGCCAGCCATGGCTCATGTATTAAAATTCTTGAATGAAAAAAACAGGTTGTCCTTATATATAGGGAATTTCTCTAATATCTGAATATATTGGGCATTAAAATAATGTTGAAGTTGCACTTACTCTGACCGTAGACGAGCTTCCATACCATCAGGGAGAAATAGTTTTATTGTTGAGACAATGCATCCATGAGTGACTGTATAAAAAAAAGACTTTAAGTTCTAAGTATCCGGTTATTAAAAATTACATTATTAAAGCAATTTATGATAATTGCAAAAATGTTACCTAGACAGAACAAAAGCAATACACAAATGAAAACTGAACATTTCAGGAAAAAGAAAATTCAAATTCTTTCTTCCCAAAAAATAAAAAATAGCAAGCCATTTAAAAACATCAGGAAGACCTAAGTCCTATGCTACTTCCCACCTTGTGGTATGAAAATATCAATTTCACTAGCTTAGCCCAATAATTTCATTATGATATTCTAATTTCCAGAGGTTTGAATATGAGGCTTCCAGTGTCACCTTCTGTAATTGGTTTCTAAGGAAAGAAAGGAATTAATGTAAAATGATGCCTCTCAAACCCATTCTCACCTGATATGCTAGAGGTAGACTGTCACAGATTAAAAGATCTACTGATTAGGTCCAACTATAAGCATCACCAGATATAACCTAAGACCGTGATGGCGAACCTATGACATGCGTGCCACAGGTGGCATGCAGAGCCATATTTACCAGCACGCGAGATGTCAGCTCTGGCATGTCAACTGATTTTCGGCCTTCCTGAGGGCCAGGGGAGACCGTTTTCGCCTTCCCCAGGCTTCAGGAAACCTCTGGAGCCTGGGGAGGGCGAAAAACAGGCCCAACAGGCCAACCAGACATTTGGAAACAATCCGTTTCCGAATTCTGGAGGGCCTTTGGGGGCTGGGGGAGGCCATTTTCACCCACCCCAGGCTTCAGGAAAGCCTCCAGAGCCTGGGGAGGGAGAAAACTCCTCCCGTGCGGGGGGGAGTATGCGCATGCATCGGGGGGTCGTGCGCCCATGTGCAGAAGGATGGGGCACATTCCATTGTGGGTGTGGCCACAATTTTGGTACGCCTTTACAAAAAGGTTTGCCATCACTGACCTCTCATGAATACCAAGAAGTCTATAAAATCTCAGTTTCTCCAATCTGGCTGATTTCTAAATCAGCATTGTACTTATCCCAACTAGCTGAGTTAGAATAACCATTGGACAATGGGGAGAGCATCATCATCCAAGAAAGTGAAGTATACTTGCCTCACTTCTTGAAGAAACTTATTCAAGACAATTCTTTACAATATCAAGCTCAAACACCCATAGTCTCCATTTGTTTAAAGCTTATTTTGTTATAAAATGTATTTGATATTACAATGGCAGAAGAAAAGAAAGTGATCCAGACTCTTACCTTTCCGTGTGTTCTCTGTTACATCTACACCAAACTGTATAATATCTCCAGACAGAATTTCACATGGTGGACTCTCTTCAGATCCTCTGCTCAATCTCTGACTATTTATAAAGGTACCATTACTGCTCTTAGTGTCTTGAAGATAGAACTATAAGATAAACAGAAAAAGTCTGTATTTTTTTCTGACGTATTAAAGTTTAAGTCAAATTTAAGATTAAAATTTCAGACAATTCACTAATTGAAAATTAAAAGAGGATATTTATGATCATTCAAGTGCACTACAGATAATATCTATATTATAATTGCAGCAGAGTAATAAATGAGTTTATCCCTTACACTTTGAGAATGAAAGAATCCCACAGTTGATCACCTATTCATTGGATTGCATTCACCTCTATTCTGTTATCTAGAAATTTATGTTTAAATTAGCCTTATTATAACCTTTAATAAATTATGTACCATCTGAATAATTTTCTTTTTTTTTTCTTCTTCACCCCAACTCTCCATCAGGTGCCGAGGTGGCACAGTGGTTAAATGCAGCACTGCAGGCTACTTCAGCTGACTGCAGTTCTGCAGTTCGGCTGTTCAAATCTCACCGGCTCAGGGTTGA